TTTATATTTCTTTCCATTCTGTGTAAGAACATAACTTAATTGTGACTGCATTTCTTTTATGACAGAGTGATAGTTTTGAGCCTAAGTCTATTTACATCTTTAATTTCAACCCAAAATTTGAAAATTGCTGATACCGCATCAACAAACACTGAAGTTACTGCATTTGCTAATGACAACAACACATCCACATGTCAAGTACTAGTGACAGGCTTTTAATGACCTGGGCTCGGATATTTACAAGTTATATTAAGGACGGCTATTAGTTTTAATCTCTGTTAGATGATTTAGTTGAGTCAGGGTTGTTTTTTGTCAAATAGATAGTCCCAAATCATTACTTAATTGCATTACAATGTATATTGAAAACAGAGTGAATGTTCCAAATATATCATTTAAAACTTAAAACATTTTGTACCTTTCATAGTTTGACTACCGTCATTTAATGTCTCAGTACAAAAAAATATAATTAAAACAATGCTTGAAAATTGGCAAAATAGCTTGGAAACTTATATTTTCGGAGATCTTAATTGCGGTTCCATGGTAAACTGCGACAGTACAAACACTGTCAATGTTGTCTGCCAAGATCTTCCGGTAATAACGCCGAGCCATCCATCAAAACAAAACCGCACCAGTATTGGCTCAGCCATTTCGCTCGCCAACCCACACCAAAGCACTCACAGAGCGCGCACGGGAAAGAAATAAAAGTGGGCTATAGTTGTTCATATGCCACTGGAACGATAACGGAATCCAAGGACTAAACACAGTTGAATTGTGGGTAGTAATAACAATTCTTCTCTAAGATCTTGTGGAGATAAGTGGATTAACTTTGAGGAAATTCAGTTTTCAAGGTAAGTGCCTAGTATGTCCCTTCAACCGGTGTTGTACTTGAGCACATTTCTATGAGTATGCATACTTTGCCATCAATGCCATGAGTACAAGAACAACTTCCTTAGTATGAGTCCCTGCAATTAGTACAATTTGAGTACAATTATCTGCCATGAGTTGCAGTACATGTACATTCGTAAAAAACAATTTCTGTGCACGAGTGCTGAGTAGGCCTACAGTGCTTTGCCATGAGTATCTGTACAAGTAATGAGTATGAGTACTTTGCCATGAGTATTGAGTACAGTGCATTTCTTTTCCATGAGTATACCAAGTAGTCTCTATTTTGCAATCTCACTCAACAGATAAACATTGACACCATGATTGCTATGATGAGCAACTTGACGACAGAGGACTCAGAAAACCAGATTAGCGACGGCAGCTTTGCCGCGCTGACGACCCTGGGGGTCATAGGCATTCTGGGTAACGGCCTCGTCTGCGTGACCATCCTCCGAGCGCGATTCATGCACTCAGTCACCAATTTCATGATCGGGCATTTGGCATTTGCGGACTTTTTAGTCTGCTTGACGTTCCTGGTGTTTCAAGAGCGTTTTGTCGCGTCCGAAGACTTGCATTACCCCCTATGTTGTCTTTTCTTCAAAGCCAAGATTGCAGTGTGGTTTGCAGTCAGCCTGTCCAACGTTTGCTTGGTGTGTGTTACCGTGGAGCGGTACATAGCGATTGTGTATCCACTGCACTATCCTCACTACTTGTCGAGTGTCAGGGTGAAAGTGGTGACGGTTAAACTGTGGGCTCTGTCGGCGGCATTTGCGTCGATTCAAATATTTATGCCGACGGACACCACTTCTGGAGCCTGCCTTCCAGATTTGACTCTCCGTGATACGGCGTTTGACATACTCTTTGCCGTCAAAATTGCACAGTTCTCCGCGCCAGTGCTGTTTCTGTTTTTTTGCTACGGCAAGATCATGGTCAATCTGTACCGAAAAGCTCGACTTCAGCGTCATGCTAACAACCACGCCCCCGCTGACGACTTGAACAGGGCCCAGCGAAAAGTCGCTCTTCTCTTGTTTTCTGTAGCGGCCATATACGTCACCTTTTGGTTTACCATTTTAATCTTTAACAGCTATCTGTATATATCTAATGAGAAGGATGCTTTCCTGATACAGATCTTCACTGAGATGCACCCGATACTGCTGGTCCTGAATTCGCTGGCAAATCCGATAGTTTACGCTTTCAAGTACAAGGAGTTCCAAAAGGGCGTGAGGGAGGCCGTGCTACCCAGCTGTCTTAAAAGGCAGCACAGGGTTGACGTGGGAAATAACGACATTGCGATGGGGTGAAAAAAGTTTGTCTTGGTTTCAAGATGGGATTGGAGATTCAATCCCCTGATGAAACCTGCCTGTAACAAGGCTACCAAGAGAGAGCGCTCTAGGATTGATCACAGAAGTTATTTTTCGATAGCAAAAAAAATCCCTTGTGTACTTAGTATGATTGAGGTAGATTAAAACACAATACCCTGCACAACTTTTTCACCCAGATGGTGAGTAAAACAGCCCTTTTTAAGCTCAAAAATGTACGTCTGTATGTATGTAAATGTATGTACTATACTATGCGCGTATCTGCATTGAGCGCACGTCGCGCGGATACGCGCGCTGTCAACAAGCGTTTTGCCCATACTATTTCAAATCACGGTTGTTACGCGCACGACTGGCGGTCTATGCGTTTATATGTCTGTGATTGATACTGTTCATATAGCGCCCTCTACTGGTGGTTTTGCTCATGACCTGCATAATGAGGGGAATTAATCGAAAAGCCAGCCTCAAACTTATACTTATTATATAGTCAGAACTGTACATTGTAGTGGAATCTTCAAATAATTTTTTGTAAATGTCCAGTTTGCCCTATATAAGTCGCAATATTATTGTGTCGTAGACTTAGTCTGGTTCCCAGACCAAATGATTCCAACTATTCCTGATGAATCTTAGGTCAGGTAGCCTCCGGTAATACAATGTATTACAATTTACATCACGTGACTAAAACGGGAGGAATTCCTCCTTTTTCCGAAACTGTCCGAAGTTTGCCGAATTCATTTCGTCGACAATCGGATAGTGTCCGAGTATTTCCGAGTATAATATAGGTTTTATTAACTGCTAATTGCTTATTAAAAACTTTAAAAAACTAGTTGATAATTAATATCCATTGCTTTTATTTAGAAAACTTGAAATTCAACGTCGATTTTGCACTCGGATCGTATAAGAGGGGCGAACTTTTTGCTGCGTCATGCACTATGTTTGAATTTGACGACCGTTACCGGCATTTTCCAAAACGCGGCTTGGTCTCAATTCGGCTCCGCCTGCTAACAGTGCTGTTTGGGTGTCCAACTTTGAAGATTCCAGGTTAAAATTAGTCAATGTTTTTTTACAGAAGTATTAAACTGTATATCATAACTGTATGATATATGAAGCAAGTGATTTATTTTTAAAAAAAATATCGGAACGCTAAAAGCTTTATGTGATAAAGCGAATTCGGAAACGAAGTCGAGCTTTGAAAAAGGGCCGTCAATGTCGTCATGTTTATTTTTAGCCACGGAGGCTGCCTGACCTACAATTTAGACGTGTAGACGTCGGGGGAAATTGTCAGGTCGGGGAACCAGACTATCGTAGACTGTACGTTTCATTTCTTTGCCTTTAACCATTTTTGCACCGAACTAAAATTTCGATTCAAAGAAAGTAAAGTTTGCTGGCCTGCAACCGAGCAATATTTACAAAAGTGACATAAATCTTGTAAAATACCAAAAATTGTTGTGCTTGAAATACAAATCGAACTTAAGTTTAAATCACTTTCCATCTTTTTCAAACCACTAACACAATGCTTTCTTTCCACTAATTTATTCCCTTTAAAGGGGCACTGAGGTCCTGAAATCCTTGAAAATTTCATGTTTTGGATTGTTTACTTAGCCTATTTCAAACATCTGGTTGAAAGGAAACCAACCTAATGTCTTACCGTTCCCGAGAAAAGAAAAAAAACCCGCTTGTTTACATCGGACACGACGGAGCACGAATACGTTTTTCGTGTCGTTCTCGGTGTACGATATACACATTGTGTGTCTCGGGACTAGTGGTGACCAATCGCCAATGTAAAAATAGTGGTTTCTTCAACGTCCGCAAAAGACGAACACTTCACGAATGAAATCACAACTAGCATCCAAACAGCTCGAATTTATGGGGTCGCAAAAGTGGACCCCGAAATTCGTTCTTACACGCATAATACAGGAATTACACAAAAACATCCAGTTTTGAATTGAAGTTGGGTGGATGTTTATATCCTACTTGTAAATGTTATTTCCGATTAAAATCATTTCGTTCAAAGCGCGTTTTGTAGCCCAATTGGGCTGTTCCAGGACCTAGAGTCCCTTTAAGCAAATATCTGTGAATCAACTTTGAGATAAAATGGAGGTACCAGTGCAGGCATCTCAAGTTACGGGGGTATTATGTACTTAAAGGGAAGATACAACATTTGCAAACATCACAAAACGAAATGATCGAGTTATCACGAAATACCTTACTGAATTGTTAGGGATTGACAGTCTAAAACATTCTGTAAAATCGTGGCTCCTGGTGTGCTGTCATTTTCAAGAAAAATAGGATTTCGCCAACGCTGGTCAGCTGACCAGCGTTGGAGAAAACTGGCTTTTTTCAAAAAGTGCTCCTAATTTTTCATAATTAGCTATTCCGCGTTTTCTTTGCAATTGATTACACACCTGTGAAGGGGTACAAGCCTGCTAGACTGATTCTCTGACCTTACAATTCCGCAAAGTTTATAAATTGCTCTGTTTCATCTTAAGTGGGGTCAGGGAACCAGACTACAAGAACATGATTGGTTTTCTTGCTTTTTCCAGCATCTACAAGCCCAAATCGTGAAACAAGTCATTTTAACAATATTTGCTATAACATATTAATCCTCCAAATCCATTTATTTCTGAAAATTGCAGCAAAAGCAAATGTTGTACATTCCCTTTAATATCCTACTCTCTTGACAGGAATGGTGTATCACTCCTAGACAATCAGCGTTTCGAGTTATCCCAATTTGAGTAATCACGATTTGACCGTACGTTTTGTCGGAGCAGTTTCTGTGTGAACTTTCAACAATTGTATACTCACATTATTTGAAAGCTGGCCAACGTGGAGCCCTTTTCTGAAGTCAACGTTGCCATTTATTGCCGAGTTGAGAATCTTTGGCAATGCCAGGGTTAGCAAGTCACCGTAGGATCTGTGCCATTAAGGAAAAAGAAAAAAAACGTTGGAAACAATCAACAGTTATGAATAAAAATTCAGTAAAAGAAAGCCTCATTTCATAGTCACTGTTTGATACAGGAGACTTTCTGTAATGTTGTAAACAACACGAAACACTACAGGGTGAGTTAAAAAAAGTGGAACCCAAACCCCCAAAATTATATTTCATATTTAAAAAAATATGAAGCACCAAAAATTATGACTGGAAAGCCAATTTCATAAGCTCCTTTTAGATGAAAAAAATACTGAAATTGCTCAATCCATTCGAAGAATATCACCATTTTAACACAATGACCCTAAAACCTGTCTCGTTCAAAAATGCGATTTCAAGAATCGTCGTCACAGTTGTCTTCAAACATCACCAGCAATGAAACCTCAGTTTAAAAGTTAAAAATATTCAACAAATTCCTTTTGAAGGCCCGTTTATTAAAAAAAGTTGATTTTATCAATCATATTGTTTGCCTAACCAGGGTGTTAATAAAGATATTATGTACTACTGTTCTTGACAGTTGATGAAACAAGTATTCTGTGTCATTTTCCTTGTTGTTCCAAACAGTCAAAACACACAATAAATTGCTGTTTTTGGACAAGACAGGTTTTAGGGTCAGTGCGTTTAAATGGTGATATTCTTTGAACGGATTGAGCAATTTCGGTATTTTTTTCGTCTAAAAGTAGCTTATGAAATTGGCTTTCCAGTCATTATTAGTTTTGGTGCTACATATTTTTTTCCCGCTTTTTTTGACTCGCCCTGTATCTGCAAAAGTGCATCTTTTTAACTTACGATCTTTGATATGTGCTGATGGTGACGTGAGTTGAGTGTTGGCAGTTGGACGGCGTGTCTGCTTGATGCACCGTGCCACGCGGGAAGTAAAGAAGATCGCCGGTCTGTGTAGGGCAGGAAAACAATCCCAAACTAAAAATTTGGACTTTGATATAGTTGACTAATTGTTATGCATGTGACTTTTGACCTTTGTGGGTTATGACATCTGCTTAAAAAAAAAACGAATTTAATAGAAAGATAATATTAATTACAAGTCCATCACAAGTCATTTCCCAAGTCTTGTGACTAAGACAGAGGAAGAGCAATAACAGAGGAATGCCCAAGTTTGTCAGAGTTCATTTGAATAGAGTGTGACTTTACTTGAGGACTTAATTGTAAGAACTTGTGATGACTTGTGATGACTTGTGAGGACTTGTGAGGTCTTGTGAGGACTTGTAAAGACCTGTGAGGACTTTTGAGGATTTGTGAGGACTTGTGAGGGCTTGAAAGGACTTGTAAAGACTTGTGAGGTCTTGTGAGGACTTGTGAAGACTTGCGAGGACTTGAAAGGACTTGTAAAGACTTGTGAGGTCTTGTGAGGACTTGTAAAGACTTGTGAGGACTTGTGAGGATTTGTGAGGACTTGTGAGGGCTGGTAAGGAGTTGTAAGGACTTGTGAAGACTTTTGAAGACTTGTGAACTTGAGAGGACTTGTGGACTTGTGAAGACTTATGAAGACTTGTGAGGGCCTGTAAGGACTTGTGAGGACTTGTTATGACTTGTGATGTCTTATAAGGACTTGTAAGGACTTGTGAGGGCTTGTTAGGACTTGTAAGGACATGTGAAGAAGTGTGAAGACTGGTGAACTTGTGAGGACTTGTGAACTTGTGAAGACTTATGAAGACTTGTGAAGACTCTTGTAGACTTCCGAGGACTTGTGGGGTTTTATGATAGACCTTACATTGAATTCATGAAGAATGTTTGCTTACCTCTAAGACAAAGTCGTGGGTCGGATGGCCAATGTCATCTTGGGTCAGGTCACCACTGTAGTCTCTGGGGAGCTCTGTTGGGGGCGCGTACAGGCGCCAGTGTTTCCTACCCTCCAGCTGAAGAATAAAGACCTGCCACAGATTATACATAAACAAGATGATAACTGGTACCAGCTGCTTGGATACCAATCAAATAGCACCAGTTACGTGCCTGTCAGTGGACTAAGAGGGCTTGAACAAGTGGGGGCCCTACTTCACTGACACTGGCCAGTTCCACCAGAAGAATAAGGAACTACCGCGGACCGTGCAAGGAACCAAAAAAGTATAACTGGTACACGTCACTTGGTTACCAATGAAACAGCAGGAGTCTTAAAGGGAATGTACATCATTGGCTTTTGCTGTAATTTTCAGAAATGAACTATTTGAGGGGTTAGTATAATAGATCAAATATTGTTACACTGACATTTTTGAAGTTTTGTGTTCGAAAAGGTTGGAAAAACCAAGAAAAACACAAATGTTCTGGTAGTCTGGTTCCCTGACTCCACAGAAGATAAAATGGATCAATTTATAGATGATTGAAAATTGTAAGGCAAGGGAACCAGACTAGCTGCCCTGCACCCATTCATGAACATGTAACCAATAGCAAACAAAATTTGGGCTGACAAAATGGTAAATTTGGAGCAGTACATGTAGTTGAAAAATAGTTAGGTTTTTCCAACGCTGGTCGGCCGACCACCATTGGAAATGTATACAAAAATACTATTTTCTTGAAAATGACTTCACACCAGGTGCCATACGTTTACAAGATGCTTGAGACTGTCATTTACCAACATCCTAGTAAGGTATTTTGTAAAAACTTGGTAGTTTTATTTTTCGATGTTTGCAAATATTGTATATTCCCTTTAAGTATGTGCACGAGTGAGGGCACTATTCACCTTCAGTGGTTCCCCTGGAGAATAAAGACTCATCGTAGATCTTACGTAGATCAAATAATAACTGGTACCTTGCTTTTTAGCACCAACCCAACAGCACCAGCTGCGACCTGTCAATGGACTTTATAAGCGTCGATGAGAGAGGGCGCTATTTCACCTACACTGGTCCCCACTCACGGGTTTAATCATTACCTCAACTTCGTCATAGTGAGGGGCCAACCCTTGCGAACCACCAGGCGTCATGTAGACGTTGGCACCAACGAGGGAATGGAAATGACTCTCCAACAGCTCACAGATCCGCCAAAGCTCATCCTGACAATTAATAAATTAGAACGTTCCAAACTGAGAAATGTTTAGGTTTTCATTCACTAATCATTTTTGCTGCTGGTATTTGAGTACATTGGTTTGTTTCAAAGGCATATAAGGATCATTTGCATTTCTTACATTTTGTCCGTTTCCAATAATAACACCACTCAAAAAAACCCAAAGAGGAATGTTCAAAACCTAGCTTGTTGAAGTTACAGCTCAGTGGATATTACACTTTTCAAGAAAGCAGTGGAAAACCATGCACACTTTTAGATCCCAAAACACGGTGTCGTCAACAGCACTCTGTATTTCACAAAACCATTCAACTGACTGATCGTTGGAAAACACCTATATTTCTTGATTTCTTCTACATGACAGCAAGCCAGACGGAATAATTTCACGGGGTGTTTAGTACCAGTACGATCTTTAATCCAAGTAAGGTTTTCGATAATAAGTTGGTAGGTTACTTTTGGGACAGATGCAAATGATCCTATATGCCTTGAAGTCTTTTCATCAGAAGACACAACAGTAGTCTTCTTACAAGACGTCTGCTCACCTGGAATCGCTGCGGTTGATGAAACTGAAGCGTCGCCTGCTTTTTGTCGAAGAGATTCTTAATTTTTGCCGTCGTTGCTCGACCACTTCCGTTCAAGTTTTCTCGTTTGGACTTGACATACCTTCAAAGTTAATGTTAAAAAACAGCAACTGTCGGCAAATAACTCCACAATTCTTCAAGCAATATACATCAACTTTTTGGTCTGGGTATATAGTACTCTCGACACAACATGTTGAATCAAAGCTAATTTCACTTGTTACTTGCATAAATTAATTTTAGAAGCAAGGAGCTACGTTGGAATTTTTGGAGGCAATTTGGGACTATGGAATCCACGGCAAGTTGAAGGGAATGTACAACATTTGTTTCTGCTGCAATTTTCAGAAATAAATGGATTTGGAGGATTAGTATGTTATAGCAAATATTGTTACAATGACTTGTTTCAAGTTTTGGGTTCGTAGATGCTGGAAAAACCAGGAAAACCAATCATATTCTTGTAGTCTGGTTCCCTGACCCCACTTAAGATGAAACGGAGTAATCTATAGCCTTTTGGGAATTGTAAGATCAGAGAATCAGTCTAGCAGGGTTGTAGTCTTCGCAGGTATGTAATCAATTGCAAAGAAAATGCAGACGAACTAAATATAAAAAGTAGGAGCACTTTTTGAAAAAAGCCAGTTTTCTCCAATGCTGGTCGGCCGACCAGCGTTGGAAAAATACAGTTTTTCTTGAAAATGTCAGCACACCAGGAGCCACAACTTTACAGGATGCTTTAGACTGTCATTCCCTAACAATCCAATAAGATTTTTCGTGACAATTTGATCATTTCGGTTTTTGATGTTTGCAAATGTTGTATCTTCCCTTTAAAATAATGAGAATGTCAGAAAATACTGCAGAAAATAAAAAGTGGAAAGAAAAAGACAATAAAGTGACGCAGGAAGAAAAAAAGATGCAAGCCAAGACGAGAAACTGGTACATTTGTTTTACTTGGTCTTGCATGTACCTGCAGACGTTGATATCCAATCCAAACTGAATGTCGTGCTTGGCCAGCAAACTCAGCAAGCCGTCCTTTGAGAAGCAAGCACCGTAAGAACCAGCCGACGCCTCGCCCCCGCCCCTGCGGACAACCAGAGGTTTCTGCTCCCATTGTTCCTCAAAGAACGACGAGAGGCTAGCGGCAGGGGCAAGCATTGAGGCCAGAAGACGCTCTGGCGAGGAGAAGTCCAGTTTTCCTGAGCAGTTGGTGGAATGGTCCTCGGGTGCCGTGGGTGTCTCTACCTGTGTGGTTGATTCTGCTCTTCTACCAGTGGTGTTCGCAATTGTCTTGGACTTTTCTGGTTTGGTTGTGTGCTTGCTGCGTTTGGGTGGCGAGACATTACTTGGTGCATTCCTGCTGCTACTTGTGGCACGTTTGGAGCCTCTTGTTCTTCCTTTATGGAGAAATGAAAGCAATACCCTAACATGTCATAATAATATTTGAATGGTCATAATCCACTTCAAACTACCCTCCATAGGCGAATCCATTTTTGACTAAATGTAATTTTTTTTCTTTAAAACAATGGAGCTCCAGTCATGAGGCCTAATGCACCTATCAATTGACCTATCGCCGTGTGCGAGTTAGCCACGCCCCTTAGACAACCCTATGGAGTTTGTGTACATTAAGTTTTGTTAGTCTCAGATTTTGCGTGTTCCACATCCATTTGTATATCATGTAATTGGACATTATTGGACAAGCTGCGTTGATGCGATTCTAACACGATTCAAGCGTAATAGGTCAATTATTCCCCCTTCCTCTCCAGGATGCCCCACCCAAGATGTGGGGATTGTCAATTTAGAAGTGACGTCCCTGTATTGTGCAAAAATGTTATTGACAATCTCCAATCTTACATTTACATTCATGGGTGGGGTGCCCTAAACTGGTGGCTTGTACATCTAGTAAATTCATTTTAAAAGGGGGAGGGGGAAAGGGGGGGGTTTGACAGTTAACCCCCCCCCCCTCCCCGGCCACTGAAAAAATTCCCCACTCCCAAAGCACCACCCCTCCTTCCCCAAAGCACCACGCCCTCCCCCACCATGCCCACTCCCGAAAATCTTACCTTTACTACCTTAGTGTAAGTGCAATGCGGAAAGATTCCCATATCTGGCCATCACTTACTTGTCACCCTGTGCACAAACCCTATGAAACTGGTCTGAAAAGTTGTGTGTGTTTTCTCAGTAAATACCCCAATATTTTCCCTGCTAAATTTGACTTTTTAGGACATAATATCACTTTCTGATGGCTGATACTAGTGATAGGTCACTGAAGGGAAAAATTAGCATGATTATTGATGGCCAGATATGGGAATCTTTCCCATAATCAGTAGTGCGCCTATCGATTGTTTCCAAATGTTGAAAAAGGCGATTCGTAGAGTCCTAGTCTGCTAGTTACTCGGACTACCAAAATCCCCACCCTGGCCATGCTGGCCCTGGGGCATGAAAAATGTGACCAAATCCCGACATCGGACCTAGGGCAGCATGGGGTACGGTGGGGGGGGGGGGGGGGGGGAATTTGATAGACGCATAATGCTTCTACTATGGAGAAATAAAACATGCTTTGGTACAACTATAGAATGCAGGGCCACTTTACTCTACATCCGCGCCTCCGTACGGCTGCGTGGAGGCGTGGAGGCGTGGAGCCGACCTACCTCCGAAAATCGATCGTGGAGTGGTACCGTGGAGCCGCAGTCGATATCTCCGAGAATTGCGCACTCTATCGGTGCGCGTCTCTGCGACTCCACGCCTCCGCCACTCCAGACAGTTCCCCGTCGCCCTCCTCCCTTCCTAATTTGCGAGCCCATTTAAAATGGACTCTGCGACTCCCCGACTCCGCGCCTCCGCCACTCCAGCCAGTGCCCCGTCGCCCTCCTCCCTTCCTAATTTGCGACCTCATTTAAAATGGACTCTGCGACTCCCAGACTCCGCGCCTCCGCCACTCCAGACAGTGCCCCGTCGCCCTCCTCCCTTCCTAATTTGCGAGCCCATTTAAATGGATATGGATGCTTCGTTCTCAAAAAAATTCCGCCGAGAATTGCGCCCTCTATCGGCGCGAGTCTCTGCGACTCCGCGCCTCCGCCACTCCAGTGCCCCGCGTCTCCGCGACTCTGCGACTCTGCGCCTCCGCCACTCCGCGACTCCGATCCGTACCGTGCCCCCAACACATTTACAAGCACGCCCTCCCTTCCGATCCTTCATGAGAAGCTTAGAAGACAAGTGCATTCGCTGTACTTAGCACTTTTTGCAGGTTTGCATATCTATTACTCCTATCCATCCACGCCTCCAAGCAAAATAAAAAACCTTGCTCCGGCGTGGCCCTGCATTCTATAGTTGCTCCCATGCTTTAAGTTCTACCAACATCGAAACTAAAATGCACTCAACAACATACATGTGCGCCCCCCCCCCCCCCCGATCCCCCCACACTTTGCATGCACCCCGTTGATTTGTGCATGCACCCATGCCAAACATGCTCACGTGCGCATGACCACTCAGTCACGTCAGTTCAACTTAGTTTAAGTTCAAGGTCTCTTTTCCTTAATATATTTTGATTAAATACGCTAAATAAAGCGCCATTTTATAACTAATTTGTTCCTTCCTTATTTTTTCATCGTCTAAGACAAATATAAACAGCTGTGAAGTATTAATTCATGAATATCATGACACTTTCGACTTACCCATTTTGGAACAAAACGAACACGTGTGCGCGTGGTACGGTGTTTTGAAAGGGCGCCACCATCGACGAATTGGGGCAAAATTAAACATGCAAGGCAGCATTTTGGTCAGCATGCGCGCAACAGAAACAAAATCACAGCTCTGTCAAAAGAAAATCTCTAAAAAGAAGTGATTTTGTTTCTCACTGGTTTTATGCGTTGTTTTCGTTCATTCAAATAATTTTTATTAATTCACTTCTGAGGGTTGGTAGCTATACTGAGATGGCGCCCCCTCCCGCTTTGCGCCGCTCGATGCCTGTCCCCGCCCCTCCCCACCCATGATTTCAAGAAAGACATTTTGAACTGTTTGAAACTCGACTATGATCCATTGTGTGCCTCCTTAAGAAAATTAGAAGCCCCGCCCCTCAGCTCCACATTCCCAGGCAAATAGGACCCAAACTATGTCAGTGTCGACAATTTCATTCTAGTTTTTTGAAGACAGCACTGGAACATGATTTATGGCAGAACATGATTTTCAAGGTTATTAACAAAACAAAACGATCTATTTACGAGCTTTTACAAAAAGTATTTATTCAGAAACGATTTTTACTACAAATATTTGTACAACTTGAGGCCTGGTGATTTTATATAATGAAGTCATTCAAGTGACCACTAAACAATGCTAAACGAACTTTCTATAGCGTTATGCAATTTCTTCGGAAAGGCAGTGGTAAGATAGGAATTTCGGGGGGGGGGGTTGTTTTGTGAATAAATGTCGTTTGGTTGAGACCCATTCTAATTAAAAGTCGAGTCCGAGTAAATAAAACAAGGGCAAAAATTATACGTATTGGCCAAGTCATCTGGTTATTTGGGCAAAATGTTTATACGTGCTTTTTGGGTGTGGCACCTTGGAAAATAGATTTTCAATTTAAATTGATAATTTTCTAGCTTTACATTAGTTATGAGCTTTCCAATGAGACATCGCACGAAAAAAAAATCGGCCCACGACAAGTAATCAATTAATTAAGCTCAACTTTTGAATTAAGAGCGGGACGTTCCGAATTCGTTTTTTGAAATTTTGAAAATGCACGTGTATACCAACGTTAATAACAGCAATTAAATTTACAATGTAAGCCTAACAATGCATGATTATTTTGTGACCCTTCGTTATATCTTAGGTAACAGAACAGAATGGTAGAGATTACAGCATTTCAGCATTTCATTCCATTTAAATTTCAATACTCTATGACGCACCACCGGGACGTCCATGGTGACAGTGTCATTTGGGGGAGGGGGGGGGCCTTCCAAAATGTTATGCCTTACAAACTTTGTGATGTGAGGGTTATTGTAAAGATGATAACATAATGAAACAACTTTGACAGAATTCTTGTAACTGAAAACTTTCAAATTTATATACAATGGGGGACTCAATGTATACATTCCATGTTTTAGAAAACAGTGATCAAAATTATTATACAGTGATAGTACAATATTTAAACAGTTCATTTTAGCGTTCATTTAGTCGGTCTGATCAGTTCTGCGGCAGAGAACGCTGACACGCCGGGCAGGCGGTGTTGAGCGGCCACGCAGCTGCCGGCTGGGTTGGTCTTGCACTGGGCGCAAGAACACGGCAAAGGCCAGCCGTTGTAGAGACCGAGAGTTGATGAGTTGGTTGGCGGGGCAGGGAGCGTTGCCAGCCCTGGTCGCTCCTGGCTCGTGCCGGTGTAAGTCCGGAACCCCGAGGAATTTGTTGGCGACAGGGAGGCTTTCTCATGCCGCGTGGAGACGCTTGTGGAGCACAGTGGAGTGGAAAGGAGTAAGGATTTCGGTACGATGGGTGTTGGTGATGTGGGGAAGTACGGACGAGTCGGGGTTGGGGGTAATGGCCCCGACTGATGACCGAGACTCATGGACTGGGGTGGTGGTGGTGGGTGCACTCCTTGGTACATCTCTCCAAGAAGCCTCCGCATGTCTTCCACGCTGGTGGAGAGCATCAGGATGTAGTTCTTGGCGAGGAGTAGAGTTGCAATTTTTGAGAGTTTGCGGACCGAGGGTCCGTGAGCGTACGGCATGACTTCCCGCAGACCATCCAGGGCTGTGTTCAGATCGTGCATCCGCTTGCGTTCGCGGCTGTTGATCTTCAGGCGGAGGCAGTGCATGTCCTCTTCGCTCAGGAGTTTGGTTTGTAGTGGAGGCTTGCGACTGGAGTGGGAGTTGCGAGAGGTGCTGCGGATTTCTCCCAAATGTTTCTGATGGGTTATTTTCCCTCCTGCTTGGGAGCTCCAGTTCTCGTAGTCTCCGAGTTCCTCTTGGTCCTCCTCCCTGCGGTCGGAGCTTTGCAAGGGCGGAGATGGGGGTCCGGTACACGGCACAGCCGTGGAGTCCACGGACATGGAGTCATCGCTGAATTCAGCTCCGGAGTCGGACCCAGCGGGCGAGCAGCTCGATACTGCCCGAACGGGGAAGCCGTTTGGCGGCGGTGGTGTGTTTGCCGTGCTCGCTGACATTTCCTGTGCTCTCTCGTGCGATAGAAGCATAATCTCCCCGGCCTACTCGTTCGCTTCCGTCCGGTCGACTGCGGCAGAGTCCTGAGAGTTCCGGCAGCAAATAAAGTCAAGCGTTGGGTCCTCGTCAGTTGATAATCTAAAGTTCCCCCGGACAAACGGCCCTTAAATACCCTCCTTTTGTGGCGTGCACGTGCGGGAGAGGTGTCGAACGGGTGAGTTTAACTTTCATGCACTCACCCTTAATCAATATCAAGTAAGCATATCGGGCTGAGCTTTCGCGGCATACGTTACTTTCCCTCTCGTACCGTCCCGTCAATGGATTTTCGTGTCAACAGCCTGCGCGTCAACAACCTGTCAAAGTTTGACAAGCCAATCGGGTGGCGCTTTACATGCGCCACCCCGACCCGAGTCTGTAATCAATCATCGGATTGGCGTAAACTTGCGCGCGCTACGCCTCTGCGCATGTCGCGACGCTCATTAGGCTCTTTGGAAATGCAACAGCCCTTCGCTGGTTGGCATATGGCGAAAGGACATTTGAAATGTGTGTGAGCAAACATCGGCGTGTGCCGAAGACTGCCTCGGTGATCAAGTGCCACGCGCACGACAAGCCTGTCGACTGCTCAACACTGCATGACGGGCAAAAAGGTCCATACTCTACGACTAGTTTATGTCGATCGTTTATAAATGAGAAAATGGAATTAATGTAGCCAATGTATAACTTTAGGGTTCTAGTTGTATAGTGTTTTATCATCATGCTTCTATAACTCATGGGGAATGTCTAACTTTGAACTCGCTTTGCTCTGTAAAAATCATAGTAAAATTTTTGTCAATTTTGGTCATTATTCAAAAAGATATTTAAGTCACTGAATATATTGGTGGTAAAAAAATCTCTGTTTTAAAATCCACAGAATTTATGTAAATTAATGCTTCACAAATTCCTATTCATTTCTCAAAATTCAATTCAAGAAAATAACTAAATAAAGAAATAAGGGTTCTAATTAGGCTATGATATCTTATGATTAACTTTGAATTATAAGATGTTCATCATTATGTCGGATAAACTTGCACGTTTCTTTTTGAAGATGATTTACTGAGAATTGCCAGAAACTCAACTGAATGAAACAGCCGTTCGGAAGAGACAAATTTGAAATAAAAGACACGAACAGTCAACTGTGATCCGTAACACATCCCACTGTCACTAAACCAAATCGGAGCCGTCATTTTGATGTACAAAAAACGAAACAACGGAAGGTCTCTGAAATGCATTTTAATAACCGCTTTGAATGTCCTGTCACGTTGAGACAAACATGACAAAGAAATTGGGCTTTTTTTTGCGTGCGATGCTGAGCAGAACGCTCGCCACCATGCCGCGCTGTCATATGAAAATCGGACTCGTATGAAAATCGGACTCTTTTCCCCTTTTATTGGTTAAACCCTCTCACGTGACCGGTCCCTCTCCTAATTATCTATGCATGAGCATGCGCAATACCACCAATGGGTCCGTATTTCATAAAACCTAAATTCATGCTACACCGCCTTCATCGTTGTATCACTTTTGTTAAAGGAGTTATAGCAACGCTGATTACATAAAAGGATTTGCATATCCCAAAAGTAACCTACCAAATTATTATCCAAAAGCTACTTGGATTAAAGATGTTACTGGCACTAAACACTCCATGAAATAATTCCGTCCGGCTTGCTATACAAAATCAAGATAGGCAATTTCCAATGATCAGTCAATTGACCGAGTTTTGGAATGGAGAGTTATAATGACGAAATTGTGTTTCGTGTTCAAAAGGCTGTGACTGGTTTTTCATTGTTTTCTCGAAAAGTGTAATATCGCCGAGCTGAAACTTCAACAAGTTTGATTGTATTTATTCTTTTGATTTTGAGTGGTTGGAAACGAACAAATACAATGAAACGCATATGCCCTTAAATCCTGCTTGAAATCGAAAACGAAATTATGGATCGTACTCTTCCCTTTTGTTTCTTTTATTATATGAGATAAATATTGTTTTACAGCGCAGGTTTGACAAAATCATTGGAAAATAGTTTTGCAGTAAAAATGGTCATTTCTGTTTTTTGTCACGTATCAAAGTTTCCCTAAAATACTGAAAAATTATTTCACTTTTCTTGATCATTATTATTATATTATTTGCACTCATTTTTCTTTGACGCATTACTCTCAAATAATCTGAGTGGATTTTCCTTTTGTTGGTAACACATTTTTTTGTTCATAATCCCCCCCCCCAATATTTTGTTACTCATTTTTACGACATAATACTGACGATATACAAGGGCGGATCCAGAACACAATTTTTTTTTGGGGGGGGGAGGGGGTCCCAAAAAAGTTTTTTCCTCCCAAAAAAGTGATTCATAAATTTACGGCGTGGGGTTCGGGGCCCGCTAAATTGTTGGATTCTACTGATGCTCTGTGGTGCGATCTGAGACAATTTCTGACCACTTTAACCAATTTCCTTTAGCAAAATGTGGTGGTGTACGCAGTGGCTGCCTTTTTGCGACGTCACTTAAGAATAATGGGTTCTTTTTTTTTTGGAGGGGTGGTGGGGGGGGGGGGGTTCATGTCCCCCGTTGTCCCCCCCCCCCCCCCCCCCTCCCCCGGATCCGCGGGCTAAAAGCGAATCTGGTCAGACAGATCTGCGATTGTCTGTGCGCGCATTTTCCATCAGTCTCAAACCAATCACATGAGTCTGAAGTCATGAGTGAAAAGCTATGTCAGAATTGAAAATCATTATGTCTTAAGCAATCTGAGAAGGCAGTTGTTGTTAATTGTTGCTCTGTGATGTCATTGTGACTTTATGTTAATCGTTTCATTTATAAGTTTATCACACATAAATACGGCTCTAGAATCAATAGAACACTGATCATTCCATATTTTGAGTCAGTCATTAATTTGTCCCACAACAGACAACAGCATGCTCTAAAAACCATGAATTTGTAAACAACAAAAACCGACAAACATCATCCACAGGGCCGACCAGTGGGTGTCCGCCTCAAATGCAACCCAAACACCGAGAAACAGACTGCGGACCCTATACGCGCCCCGGCATGCGGGCCGGCGTTTCGAGCCTGAATTCGGCACCATATGCGGCCAAGCCCGGTCGCGTGCCGCCGCTGTTGGCCGCTAATAACGCACACTGGCACTTGTTTTGTCCGTGAACTTTCATGTTTTGTCTCCATTTTTGTGTGCATTCGTGGTGGGACTAGCCCGTCTGCCACGGTTTTGAAAGCAAGTTGAGTAGCAAACCGTATGGCCTCACACAAGCAGGTATAGGACTAACACCCCCGGTTGGTGCCGTTGATGTTTAATTTGACGCCCTTGCCGTGACGCGCCCCTGGGGGAGGGAAGGCAGGGGGAGGGGTGTCGGTGAAACACCGTAACGGTCACGGTGCATCACCAGACATGATCTTTTGATACTGACAGGCTGTCAAAAGTTAATGATGACACTGAGGGGATACATTTCTTGAGAACGGCCGAGGAAGCGTGTAAACGGGTCAAGACAGTGCTATATTTTCTCCTATTTTATACCGGAGTCTTATCAGTATAGCGCACGAATCTACCAACATTTCTGGGGGTAGGGGAGATATTCCTAGCCCTCCAAAGCAATTGGTATAACTCGGAGTATGATGTCGGGGATTCATGGAAACGTTCTTGGAGGCTCATGTGAGAGAGATATATGGGGTCCATTTTCTGAATTAATATTAAAGTTCACTCGTAGTACTGTAGCCCTACTATTGGTTATTTCACTGCAGAAGTCATTTTTGGAACGACAAAAACAGTTTTGTTACTGAAAATATAGAGGGTCCTAAAACTACACTTTTTACAGAAAAAAGTAGGGCAATATACAAAACAAACCTTTGAAATACCGCTAAACAAAACGGTGAACAAAAGTCTGGTGGGTTAAAGATGTACATACCGGAGCGGGCCGCCCGTGCTCTTAATAAAAATTGATTTTTTTTTCTCCTAATGAATTTTCAGGTTGTGTGCTTTTGTTTTAACGAACAAATTTACTTCATTCCGAATTTGGGCGTCTGCAACCCTCTTAAGAAAGGAATTTCATTTAGCGCACAAAATGAACCCGCCTAGCGAGAGCCGAATAATTCGATTTTTTTTAAAAAGAAATCTTTCAATACCTAAACGTCGGTGGTATTTTTCGTTTGGTGTTGCATTCAAAAGTGAATAACTTTTAGGAAAATGACAATTGAAAAAACTCTTAGCACGATGAACATTATTATTGATGCACCCTTGCCATCCTAAGATATTATTGGAATCGCTCTACACATACACATAACACTCATCATTTGAGTACGAGGTGAAACTATTACCCATTGATTGTCCCGTTGTTCAGATTGCGCGCATGGGACAAGGTTGCTTTAAATCGCATGTTATGTGTTTACGTTTTACGGACGGTTGTGCAACATTTCGGCCATCAAAATGCCTGTTTCCTGCCGTCTCTGTGGTGGATCTGCAATTTTGAAAAGGCCCAAAACGGTAAATGTTTGTTTTTATTTTACATTGTGCTTTCAGATCCATAATCGAAATAGTGTTGCCTGTAAAATGGCTACATTTGAACAGCAACTCCCAACATTAATTGTCGTGCCTTCCAACACAGAGGAAAACCAGTAGGACTTTATTTCCGACACCTTATTTTTTTTACGCAGTCAGTGGCTATCGTTACGGCAACCATAACACGATTTTCAACTGCTATCAGTATATAACTGTCTGGTTCCCTGAACTAATAGTATTCAACGTCCATGAACGTCAGAATCTTGAATTTTGTACAATTATGAATTAAAATTGCCTGTTTTTTTTGTCATCCAGAATATTTTTCTAGTTTCATGGTTTTTATTTCATGTTATTCCACCAATTTTAAATGGTCTGATTCCCATCTCATGAACAACGACAGTGTTGGCGCAGAACCACACTAAGATTTGTCTCGGTAAAAACTACAAAAAAAACAAAAAAAGTCCCGCAAAACAGTCCCTGCGCCGTGCCGGCTTAATATAATAGGTAGTGTATATTTTGCCGGAGACGGCAAACCTTTTAGTAAACGTTAGTTTGCCGGATATGCACTGAACATGCGCAGTTACTGTATTTTTGTACTTATAAACATTTTCCGGTGACAAGTTTTAGTCTGGCTCCATGCCAAAATTATCGTTGTTACCTTGTATTCACAAGATGGGATTCAGACCATTTTATAATTTCGGACTTTATTTCCCTTTTAAAAAAAATCCTCCAGAGCCACAAATCTGAAAAAGAAAATGTAATACTCTGCAAAAAATGTTTGAGACATGTTAAAATAATAAAAGAAGAATATTATTATTTATTTGGGGATGAGAAAAAAAACCTTAAAAATGTGGTACGGTCGGATTCGAACGCGAGTCATCCCGCTTTCTAGAGTCTTTGCTTTACCACTACACCAAACGTGCTACACAACTTTTGGTGGGAATTTAATACATCTTATAATTCAGCCCTATTTTAAAGAGTACAGCACCCTCTGTTGATATGGATTGCCGCCGGCAAACCTTTAGTAATCGTTAGTTTGCCGTCATTACCTCCGGCAAAATATCCACTATCAATATAATATCGTTTACTGAAACTGAAAGAAAGCCGGCGACGGCCAAATTAAATTCCACTGCCACTCTTTCCACTCTTGGGCTAAAAACAAATTGGTTCTGCTTCTGGTTTCCCTACCTTCCTATTTTGACAGCCCCTACACTAATTTTTTTTATTGGAAAAGTGAGAGAAAAAAAACCAAAACCATAAATTTCTACTTTTTACCCATGACTACAATGTACAGGCGGTAGACGTCTCCATCTCATATGATTGTACACAAAAAAATATCCCTACCTACCTACCTACCCTATTTTCGAATGTCATGTAATTGGAAGCATTTCTTTCTCTTTTTTTGGCATAAGTCTTTCATTAATTAGTTACAAATAGTTAAATTCTTTGATTATTAAATAATCAAATAATTTTATTTGAAATGAATTCATATGTCTTTTAATATCCCTCAAGAAGCAATGTGCTTGCAAGATACTTCATCATATTTATGTGTTTCTTTGAGATCTGACTTGACTGAGTGATTAATACTGACATTTTCTATTTGGAAATATAACCATTGATTTAAAATTTTTAGACAGTTTTGGAAAGTTTGTTTTGGTTATAAAAACATGTTTTCTAGGCCAGTCAAGCATTGACAGCTTGATGTCCCTTGTAAGCTTAAAGGTATAGTCCATCATTTGTAATTTGTGCATTTTGTTCGTTTGAAGCAACAATAGTGCTCAAATTCTAAAGAAGGGTGCTGAACAGCTAACCTGATGAAATTTCAGCTCAGCTGCAGCTGTATATTTCGAGAAAAACAACATTCTAGGATCTTGAATTCAAATCAAAAGTTGCTGAATCAGGTTTTGAATTGGGCCTCTGATGGACTCTGGCTTTAAAGGGAAAATACAACATTTGCAAACATCAAAAAATAAAACTACCAAATCATTTTGAAATACTTTGCTGGACTGTTAGTGAATGACAGTGTAAAGCATCCTGTAAAATCATGGCACCTGGTATACTGTCATTTTCAAGAAAAGTGGTATTTTTGTATCAATTTCCAACGCTGATCGGCCGATCAGCGTTGGAAACAACTGGCTTTTTTTCAAATACTGGCCCCAATTGACCATCGCACTTGTTTGCAATCGATTACAAACCTATGAACGGGTACGAGCCAGCTAGACTGGTTCCCTGACCTTACAATTCCCCAATGTATGTAAACTGCTCTGTTTCTTCTTATATGGAGTCAGGGAACCAGACTACAGGAAAATGATCATTTTTCTTGGTTTTTATAGCATTTTTGAACCCAAAACCTCAAAAAAGTCAGTGTAACTATATTTGCTATATATTTCCTATCCCCCAATTCCATCCATTTCTAAAAATTACAGCAAAAGCAAATGATGTATATTCCCTTTAAAGTTGTATAACAAAGAATGGAGGATTTTGAAGAATTTTAGAAAGATTTTCAGCACAGATTAGCATCAGTCACATTATGTCAGGTCTGCTAATCAGTCTATTGTATGAAACCAGCCCGGTCACCAGGTGACAACCGGTGCCCTGCTTGTTGACCCTAATTAGACGGACAGCCTAGTTAATTGAATGACAAGTTCTAAGCTCATTACATAAGCACAATGCACACTCCAATACGTTGTAGGCTCTGTTGTAGGTAATTGTTGTCCATTTGTGTACAGTTGTAACACATGTACAATACAATATGACATGTTTGAGGCACCTAAAAATCAGTCCATGTCCTAGCCCCTTAAATGTGGCCAATTTTAATACTGGACTACCTCCGTAAATAAAGGCCACACTTGGAACATGCACCCAAAATTGTAGAACTTTGTCAAAATTTGATATTCACATTTGGACTATATTTGTAGTTTATTTTGAACTTTAGAAGCATACTCACCCTCTTTATAGAGAAAAGTACCTGGTAGTCCTTCATTTTTCAGACGTCTATTTTTTGTGTAATTCCAACACGAAATTACACGTAAAATAGATGTTTGAAAAATGCAGGGCTACTTTTCTCTTGCTATAAAACTACAAATATAGTCCAAATGTGGAAATCAAAATTTGGCAAAGTTCCACATTTTCGGGTGCATGTTCCAAGTGTGGCCTTTATTTATGGAAGTAGTCCAGTAAATTGGCCACATTTATGGGGCTATCAATATCCTAGGTGTTTTAGTCAGCATTTGATACATTTTGTGTCCACATGTGCTGCAAATTGAATTTTACATGATGTGTGAAATGCTGAAGTTTTATCCCTTTACAAGCATAAATTTGCATAAAAAATGGTGTGTACCCAGAAAGCATTGTTTTGACCCATAGATGCTAAACGTTCCCACTTCAAAGGGTGTCCAAATTTCAATTAAAACTCTCCCTCTCTGGATGGTAAGTTCAGCTACGCCATCACAGCAGTCAAATCAAGTGACTGTTTTTAACAGGTTTAAAGGCAATATATACAACATTTGCAAACATCAAAAAATAAAACTACCAAATTATTTTGAAATACTTTACTGGACTGTTAGTGAATGACAGTGTAAAGCATCCTGTATAATCATGGCACCTGGTATACTGTCATTTTCAAGAAAAGTGGTATTTTGTATCAATTTCCAACGCTGGTCGGCCCACCAGCGTTGTAAAAAACTGGCTTTTTTTTCAAATACTGGCCCCAATTGACCATATTAAGTTAGTCCGCATTTGTTTGCAATCGATTACACACCTATGAACGGGTACAAACCAGCTAAACTGGTTCCCTGACCTTACAATTCCCCAATGTCTATAAATTGCTCCGTTTCATCTTAAGTGGAGTCAGGGAACCAGACTACAGGAAAATTATTGTTTTTCTTGGTTTTTATAGCACTTACGAACCCAAAACGTCAAAAAAGTCAGCATAACAATATTTGTTATATATTACCACCCCCCAAATCCATTTCATTTCTGAAAGTTACAGCAAAAGCAAATGATGTATATATTCCCTTTAAGAATTCCCTTGTTAATTTGATATAGCCTTGCTTTGACTGGAGGTGATTGATATGCCAGCTGTACCTACCAGTTACATCTTTTGTCTGTTGATGGAATTTGACTAGTCACAGTTTTTACATGAAAGTGATCTGACTTTTTTTTTACTAGTCTGTGTACAAATTTGCATGGTAGAAGAAGTGGAAGAAAAGTTTGATTGTCTGTGATTGATCAAATAATAGAAGGGTTTTAATATTAAATTATAGTATTTACTGCTTTCATATGATCTACATATTGTACAACCTGGATTTTCTTTTTCAGGGCTTAAAAAATGTAAAACCAAACATTGTTTAAAAGTATACTGGCAATGCGCCAATTTCACAAAGGCAGTAACATTTTTAGTTAAACTTCTAAACAAAATGCTGCCAAATTCCTGATTTTTTTTTTTACACTGAAAGTACCAGCACTAAGCACTTAAAAAGCAATCAGAGTAGGTACATGCTTGCAATCCAGACTTTTCAAAAAAGTTTACATAAGCATTCGGATGCGCCGCACTGTAAGATGAATGCGTAGTTTACCCTTTTTTAGAAGCGTCAGACAACAATAAAACTGTCATTTTCGGGGTGTGGGTTTACAGCACAGGATACCCTAGTCTTATCAAACAGAGCACGGGGATTGCTGAAAAATTGCAGCAGAAGGATATAAGAGCTGTGCGTGTGCATGCGAGAGATCCTGCAGAAAAAAGCAGCTTTCATTTTGTTGGCGCACTGGGGCACCTGCCCACTATGTTTACCCGCATCTGTTCGGCTAATTTTGGCCGTCCTTTAAAGGCATGTCTGGGCTCCGGTTTCGAGCACGCCAAGTCAAACGCCGCACACCGTCCCGCAGTGCCACACGGTTCGCCTCCGCTATTAAATTCCCATTAATTTAATTTGCCCGGGGCCCCTCGAAGTTTCAATCACCCTTCTTTTGTTAAACGGCGGGCT